GTGCGCCATCTTGGGGAGGGTGGTGGGGAGGAAGGGGAAGAAAAATTTTAAACTCAAAAGCATATGAAAGTGATTGTTGATAAACCAAAATAAATTAATAATAAAAAAGTAATTGGAGGGTGATTCTACCCATAACAATATGACAGTTGGCTCTAGAGGTATTTCGAATGGCCTCATTAGAGCCAGGCACTGTTAAGGCAATATGCTTAGCTGGTACCTGCCTATCTATTGCTTAGATCAGGGGTCCTTAGCTGGAGGAGAGGGTCCACAAATTTGTTGTTTTTTTAAAAAATAGTTTGATACCTGCATTTCAATATAATTGGGTTTTTGGTAATCCTATATTATTTTATTATATATGTGTATGTGTGTATATATGTGTATATATATTTATATATATGTTATGCATTTAAAAACATTATTCTGAGAAGGGGTCCCTAGGCCTCACCAGACTGCCAAAAGGATCTAGGACACACAAAGGCCTAGAGCCTCGTCTGGCTCCACTTTTCTCCGTCTGCACTCTTCTTCCTCTTACCCCTCCCTGGTCTCAGAATTCACCCTGCCTACCTCACCAGGACCACCTCCCTATGCCAATGCCCGTAGCTCTGCTCAGGTTAGTGCAGGGCCTGGCCTTGGCTTGAACATTCCAGGCAAATCCCTGCTCTATTTACTGGTTTAACCTCTTGCCTGCCATTCTAGGCATCCTTCCCACCTGCTGGTTCTTGGATTGATGATATGGGACACATTAATATATTTTATATCCAGCCTCTTCAACCTGGCTGCAAGGAACCTAACTCCTGTCATAGCCATTCAGGCTGCTCCTGCATTATTCTCTGTCCTCCCACCTCACTTCTCCTGACAGCTTCTGGGTCTGGGATCAAGTGTTCACCGAACCTTTCGTATAAGAGTGGTGCTGTTACATGAGCTAGGCCCTGAACTGAAATTCAGGAGCCCCAGATTCTAATCCCAGCTCTACCACTGACTTGCTGTGTGGCCTTTGGGGATCTTCTTGCCCTCTCTGTGTCTCACTTTGACTCCTTTGTACTAGGGATAATATCTTCCTTACTTACCTGCCAAGATTAGTGTGAGAACTAAATGAAAAAAAATTGGCTGTAAACAGTGTGAAATGAAAATTAATGGTTTTATATTGAATCCTCTTTTTATGCTGTGCAGTATACATGTAAATGTTCTTTTTGCATATGTGTCTTTTTGGATTTAAGTTCAAAATGAATAAAAAATAATAAAGAAAATGATAAAGAAATGAATACAAATTTTAAAAAAGAAGAAATTGGCATACAGATATAAGGTCTTATTATTACTAGTCAAGGGAAATTTAGGAACTCTGTTACCAGTGGTTTAACAGAAAAGAATCACATCTTCCTGGCTGCTGCCTTGTAGAGATCTTACCCCGGTTCCTGTAATTGGGCTCTTGCCTTGCTCTTCAACCACCAAGTTCCCGCCTTGTCCACTTGTCCACTGGTTACGGTAACTGGGTCTCTATCTTGTGCCCCCTTTCAGTCTCTTCCCCCTAGCTCTGCCTTGGTTCCCTAACACCCACTCCTCTCAAGCTAGAGGCTCATCTCGTCCCTTTCCCTGATCCTCTCAAGGACTGGAGAGAGGTTCCTTTGGCAATCAATACCAGTTCTATTGGCTATTAACCAACCAATAGGCACTTATTATATACTATTATAGTCCCCATCCTTAAGGAGCTTACATTGAATTGGGAGAGACAACACACTTATATGCAGAATAAATACAAACTAAAAAACAAGGTAACTTGGTGGGGAGGGCCTTAGAAGCTGGGGGGGAGGGGGGCGGAATCAGGGAGAGTTTCACATACAAGGTAGTGCCTAAGTTGAGTCTTGAAGAAAGTGAAGGATTCTACGAGGCAGAGGTGAGGAGGGGGAACATGAATGGCACGAGGGAAAGCCAGTGCAAAGGCCTAGAAATGAAAGATGGAATGTTTCATGTGAAGAATAGCAAGAAAGTCAGTTTGATGAGATGGTGGTTCAAAAAGTAATATGTAACAAGGCTGGAAAGGGTGGGTCAGGACCAGGTGGTAAAGGGCTTTCTGAAAGCCTGCCCAGCCTCTTCTACCCATAACTGGACCTCTGTGACTCACATTCTCTTCTGTGAGGATCTATACCCATTGACTGTCATTGGCTTGATGCCAACTGCCCATCTGCCCACACCGCTGCTTATGGCTTGCTTCTGGGCCCTTTCCTGATTAAGGGGCAGTTTCTAAGGAGTCTCCAGGTCCTGGCTTTCTGGGGGTCTGACTTGTTCCACCATTAGACCAAGCCATGGTTCACTTAATCATTTAATGAACACTAAATGCTTTAATATGTTCAGGGCACTGAGGATACAACAGACGACAACAAAACAGAAGCTGTCCTCCAGGAGTTTGCACTCTGGGGAACTCCTCCCCACAGTGAGCCGTCCTGACAGCCACATGCTCCTCCTTCTGGTCAGTAGTCCCTACTCTATCCAAGATGCATTTTTCGGTGGAGGGACAAACTTAATTAATCAAGCATAGGCACAGGAACAGGGTCCATCTTGGCCTGGCTTGGAGCCAGACCATCTTCACTGGCTCCATTCAGCTTGACTGTCTTGCTTCATGACATTTTTGCCTGGCATGAGTAGAGGTTGCCCTGGCTTTTCTAAGAAATCTGTTTTTTTAACCAGGTTCAAAACTGCATTAAAAAGTCCATTTTTACCCACTTTTTCCAGTTAAAGGAAACTCTGGTTTCCTGTCCTGCCTGCTTCCCCTGGCACTTAGCGCAGTGCCTAGCACATAGTAGGTAAGCACTTAACAAATCCTAGTTGACTTGACTTACCTTGGCCCAGATCTGTGGCTCTTCAGTTCTTACTGTTTCCTAACCCTAGAGTTCTTCCCTCCTCCACCCCCATCTCCCTGGGGAGACAAACAACTCATGTCTGCCAACTTCCCTGGACATCAGGAGACCAGGTGCCCAGGTGTAGAGCATGGTTGGGAGTGCAGGAGGAAGGAATTGCCACTGGGAGATAATGAAAGTTCAGGGAGAGAGGGGCTCATTTGGGATTCCTCTGCTGCCTCATGGCCTTAGGCTGTCAGGACAAGGATAAGGATGGGGTAGGGCCCTAAAGCTGCCAACAAGGATGAGATGAACAGACAGGGAGGCCAAGGCCTGTCTGAGGCAGGGTTGATAGGCCTGTGGCTGGGCTGGGCTCATACCGATTGTGTACACGTTAAGTTCCTCTGGACCTTCAGTTGTGGTGCCCTCCACATTTAGCTTGATGATGTCGGTGTGCATCAGCTCATTCTGTGGGCAGAAAAGATGGTGGTGTCATTACCCATCCTGGGCTCCACTGGGTAGTGTTCCCACATGTTGTGATGGTGGTAGGGAGAAGGATCAGAGAAGGTGGACCTGGGGATTCTTGCTGCTAAAGAAGGAGGGAGAGCTTGGCTATTCTAAAGAACTTAAACTTAGAGCAGTGATTCTCAAACTTTTTATTTTTTGACAAGGCAACTGGGGTTAAGTGACTTGTCCAGGGTCACACAGCTAGCAAGTGCCAAGTGTCTGAGGCCAGATTTGAACTCAGGTCCTCCTGACTACAGGGCTGGTGCTCTATCCACTGCACTACCTAGCTGCCTCTTCTCAAATGCTTTATTCCTAGGACTCCTTTATACTTCAAAAAATTATTGAAGACCTCCCCTCCCCCACCAAGCTTTTGTTTATGTGGATTAGGTCTACTGATATTTATTACATTAGAAATTTAAAATGTCTTAGTATTATTATGAAAATAGCTTTAACCTTGCAGACCTCCCTGTGAAAGGTTCTTGGGGAACCCCAGAATCCTGAGGACCCTAGAACATAGTTTGAGAACCATTGGCTTTAAGAAAGGAGCCTCAAGAGCAAACTGGATTTTTATGTGGGATCAAGGCTTGAATGGTGGAAGCCTGGGGTCTAGAATATATATGGCAGAATCTAGAACACTGGGTAGCCAGGGCAAAAAAGAGCTCCCTTGTCCCCCTCTGTTCTTCTATTCCTTTCTTTCTGACTCTCCCCTTTCTATAACCTCAGAGTATTCCTGGGCCTCTCCTACAGCAATGGGCCACTAACAGTGAATCAAGGACTCCACTTGACTAAAGCATGAAACCATTTCTTAAATCCCTTGTGGTCAGCAGGTTTAGCCTGGAAATTTTATAGGAAATTGATGTTAATTTGAGGACCAAAGTAGACAAGGGCACAGGTCAGAGTAATGTTCTGAACTGATCTGGATGATCCGTGGACTTGCAGCTTCTGCCCTCATCTGAGGTGAGCTGTACCCTGGAAGCATCCTCAGTCCCCCAAGAAGTTGTGTCCTGGTCCCATCTATGGGGATGCCCCCAGGCCATCTCTTATGGTCTAGTTCTAGACTAGGCTGCACCTCTGTTCTTCAGCATCCCCCCATTTGAGGGAGGAAGTTCCCCTGGGGACCTCAGGTTTCAGGCCACTTCTCTTGCAGGCCCCTTTACCCCTCCTAGAAGTCTCCATGACGCTGGCCCCAACCTATTTTTCCCTGTCCTGTTCCATTGGTCTGGTACGTGCTTACCAGCTGGTTGCAAAGGCCTGTTTTACCTTTTGATGGAGTTCCACTTATTTATCTATTATTCAGAGATGACTAACACACCCTGAGCTCAGTGCCTGAGTAAAACTCATAACGGCTGACTCCTATTTCTCATTTTAAGGTTTCCCAAGCACTTTACATAATGTCACTTAAGACACAGTTATGTCTTATTACCCTGTGGGGCAGGCACTAAAGGCCTCCCTTTTCCAGGGACAGAAACTGAGACTTGGAGAGGTTACATAATTTGTCCAAAGTCACATAGCTAATATCAGAGGTGAGATTCAAACCCAGGTCTTCCTCACCCCAGAGAAGTAACTGTCTTGAATCCAGTGTCCCTGTTTTACAATACTCTTCAGCAATACCTTAAAAATGCATTAAAAGTAACTGACTTTAATTCCCAGCACAGGAAGAGTCTATCACCTACTTAAAATGTGACCTTGGGCAAGTAAGCTCTTTGGGTCTTAGTTCACTTACGAAATGAGAAGGTTGGTTTGGATTTGAGATTCTTAACCTGGGAAAAGATTTCAGGGGGTCTGAAAACTTGAATGGGGAAAAAAATTCCATCTGATTTTTACTAAACTTAACTGAAATTTAGCATTTCTTTCAATGATTTAAAACCATTCTTCTGAGCAGGGAGGGGTCCATAGCCTTCATCAGACTTCCAGAGGGGTCCAGGACACAAAAAAAGATTAACAACCTTTGGTCTAGATAATTTCAAAGGCTTCCTTCAACTCTAACTTTAGATTGAGCAGAAATCTACCTCCTTCTCCTTAGCTCTGACACTGTCTTAGTTTTGAATTATTCTGTGTGAGTCTTATCTCCCTAACCAAATGGTGATGCTTCTCCCTCCCACCCCACCCCCCAACTCTCTACTTCCAAGAGTCTACCTTCTGTCACAGACCATGGATGGAAATACAAGACCCGAATGACAGGGCTGTAGAACCTGGAGGGGTGCTCATGGGGCCTAGTTGATGGGGACAGGGCCTGAAGCAATGAGATAGGATCAGGCCAGGGTTTGAAACAGGGCTGACGACCAGGCCCTAGGCACAGCCCCACCTCCTAGAAACCCCTGGCTAGAGTAAGGGTATAGATGCTGCCTCCCATCTCAGGATCTTGTTCCAAAACTAGGTATTTCTAATGAAACCCCACACATCTTCAGGGTCTTGCTTAATCTCCATCTCCAGCAGGCCTTTTCTGACTACTCCAGGCCCAGGGACCTCTTTGCTTCCTGAACACACACTATCTGTGCTCTGCGCATCCGTTTGGCCACTTGATTCCATCACGAAATCACACCTCAGAGGCGATCTAGTTAGACCTGTGCCTTAGCAAGGCTTTCTTTTACTACATCCTGGAAAAAGTGGTCATCTAGGCAGGCTCCAGTGCTAGGGAACTCACTGCCTAATGAGTCAGCTCATAGTATTTTTGGACAGCTCTAATGGTTAGGAAGTTCCCCCTTATGCTGATCTGCTTTCTTCTCCTTAGCTCTGACCCTATCTGTTCTTGAATTATTCTGTGTGAGTCTTATCGCCCCAGCCAGACCGTGACACTACTCCCCTTCCCCTACCCCAGCTGTGTCTGTCCCTTCTCCTGTTTCTGCTCTAGCCTCACCCCAGCACAGGGGCAGGACCATGGCAGGACTCAGAGAATGCTGGTTGCCCTGAACTGAGCTGACTCTTAGGGACATCCAGACTATTCAGTTAAGGGTCAGCCCTCTGATGCTTACCTGTCTTTGCTGTTTCATCCCCTGCACCAGGAAGGGTCCTGGATTTCCCTTGTTGTAACTCTTTAAAACTCAGTTCAAATGCTCCCTCCTTCCCAAACACTCTGTCTCTCTGTGTCTCTGTCTCTCTCTCTCTTTGTCTGTTTCTCACTCCCACGGTTTAAAACAACCGTTACTTCATCAGACCTTGAATAGCAGTTTGTGCTATTAAAATGTACTTATTATGTTCTAATTTGTGTGGTTTTTTTTTTTTTGGTGTGTGTGTATACATCCTATCTTTTCACTAGGTTGTAAAGCTGATGGTATGTTCCAGATCCAAATGGATCTCCTCTGCACATAGTAGGGGCTTAAATGGTAGTTGTTGAATTTCATTGCATTGAACTATTTCTAGGAGAGGAAGATCATACATTAGTAAGGATTAGTAAGCAGCTGAATCATTAACCCTTTGGCTCCCAGTGCTTGGGAGGGCAGGACTTCAAGAGACTGAACTACAAAAATCAGGATTGATGCCTAAACACTAGGAAGCAGACAAGATAGCCTATAGTGAGATTCCCTCCATATGCTACTTTCCCAAGGTTTCTAAATGCTCTTGGGCAGGGCTGGCCCTTGGCCAACTTGGTCTCCATCACCCCCTGCCACTCTTTCCTCCACTTACCCCTCCCCCACCTGTTTCTGTGCACCAGGTTCTCAAGGCCTTCATATTGTTCCCAATACCCATGACCATGAACCTCTCTCATCCCTGTAAACTCTGCAGGGAAAAGAAAAGGAAAAGCAGGATGCAGGGAGAGGAGTAAAGAGGGCAGACAAATGCTTCTTTCTTTTTGTTCTCTTCTGAGGAGTCCCAGATTCCCAGGGAAAGTGAATTCTATCCAGGCCCAGATCAGTTCATAGGATCACAGATTGAGAGCTGAAAGGGCCCTTGAAGGATGGCAAGTTCAGCTCCCTCATTTGATGGAAGGAAAGTGATGCACAGAAAGGTTATGTTCACGATTACCCAGCTGGTAAGCCCCTGAAGTGGGATTTGAACCCAGAACCTCCTGGTCCCCAGTCCAGTGCCCTATCCACTATGCCATGCTGCTGTCTCTCCCTCCATTGGGGTTGGAGATAAACAAAGCTGGAGACACAAGGTGGGGCAGGGGATAATTACCTTCACCAGAGTCCAGGATACAATCCTCCCATCAGATGACACCGAAAAGAAGTTCAGATTATTGTCCATGTCGTCCTTCTGCCACCTGACCTGAAATGATACCAATCAATGGGGCAATGGGGCCTTGAACAGATCTGTGAGCTGGGACCCCCTAACTCTTATCATGCAACTAATTTCCTGTGACTAGAAAGGTTTGTACTTGGAGCAAGTACCATAAACTACGTCCAGAGCAAGTGTTGTGAAAGCCATCCACTTGAGGGGTGGGGGAAGACCATCCCTCAGTAAACAGAGTTCTGGGACCAGGAGGACCTGAGTTCAAATCCAGCCTCAGACACTTACTAGCTGTATGACTCTGGGCAAGTC